CGGCGGCTGCGAGGGCAGCAGCTGGAGGCCCTGACTCGCGTGGCTCTGATGGAGCAACGGGTGAAGGAGTTACAGCGCCAGAAGAAGGAACTGAGGATCCAGGTGAGCAGTGGGGAGCCCTTGGAGAATGACCCGGTGGGGGGGAACCTGCAAGACGTGGGATCGCTGCCGATAAGCAGGTGTTCCTGGCCCCGGGCCTCTTCCAGATTTCCTGTCTCCCAGCCCGGTCCTCCGCCAGCCAGGCTGCTGCACCTGAGCTCTTTGCTTGTTTTCTTTGCAGATGGAAGTGGAGGTGGCCCTGCTCCGGGGTGAACTGGCCGGGGAACGGGTCGCCGCTCGGCGGGAGGAAGAGCAGCTGAAGGAGCTGCTGGGCCAGCAGGTGGAATCGCTTCCGAGCAGCCAGGAGCTTCGGGAACAGGTTGGTTTGACCAGCGACTTTGTCGTCATTTTCCTCTGTACACCAGGCTGGCCTCGAACTCACAGAGGTCCGCCAGCTCTGCTTCCCAAAGTGCTGGGATTCAAGGTGTGCGCCACCACCGCCTGGCGTCGTGTTTCCTATACTTGTATACCTGCTTATTGATTGTTGAAGAAACCAAATCTTCTGGGTGATTTTTTTTTTTTTTTAATGGTTGCTTTGTTTTGTTCTGCGTTTTTGAGCTGGTGTCTCCCTGTGTAACCCTGGGCTGCCTCAGACTCACAGAGAAGCACCTGCTTGTGCCTCTCAAGGCCTTTTTATCTTCTTCTTCTTCTTCTTCTTTTTCTTCTGATTGTGTGTGTGTGTGTGTGTGTGTGTGTGTGTGTGTGTGTTTGATCTCAGAAGCTAGAGGAGGATGTTGGATTCCCCTGAAGCTGGAGTTACAGGCTGCCAGCACCTGTAATACAGGTGCTACAAACAAAGTTAGGTCTCTGTAAGAGCCGTGCATGTTCAACTGCTGAGCCTTCTCTCCAGCACCATTTTTTTGTTGCTTTGGCTTTTTTTTTTTTTTTTTTTTTAAGGTTTTTCGAGACAGGGTTTCTCTGTATTGTTTTGGAAGCTGTCCTGGCACTCGCTGAGTAGACCAGGCTGGCCTCGAACTCACAGAGATCCACCTGCTTCTGCCTCCCGAGTGCTGGGATTAAAGGCGGGCGCCACCAATGGCCTGCGTTTTTTTTTTTTTTATGGTATCTTAGATAGCCTAGGGTGGCCTTGAACTCACTATGTAGCTGAGGAGGACCTTGAACCCTTGATTTTTCTGCTTCTCTCTCCCAAGTCCTGGGGGTTTCAGGTAGGCAGCAGGGGGCTGAATCCTGTGTCATCCCTATAGCAAAAGCAGCTGGTGCTGTCTCCTCTTCTTCTCCGTCCTCCTCTCCCTCCTCTGCCATCTCTTCTTCACCCAGGGTCTGTAGCCCAGTCTGGCACTGAACTCCTTCTGTGTTTGAGGATGGCTCTGAATCTCTGATTCCCTTACTGTCACTTCTCAAAGGCTGGGATTGTAGGCCTGCGTGGCCACGACTGTTGAGAAAAATCTGAGTCTTCTGTCAGTAGCCAGGGTGTGGCTGACCTGTGCCTGTCGGTGCCCCTCTGTTCTCTGTGAGCACATGGTCACTTGGCTGTAGAGGCCCTGTGAGATTTGGGCCTGCTTTATCCTTCCCACTGAGTCTGAGGGACATGAGCTCTGGGTGTGTGGACCTCAGTGAGTCACCCTGGTCTTAAGACTCCTTTATCTAGAGATGTTAGCATCCCTCTAGGTCATGGCTTGGATCAGTCCAAAAAAGTCAACACTGCAGCCTTGTTGACATTGTCAGCTGTGACTATCTGTGTGTTCAGGAGCTGCATCCTGGCCTTACAGTCCAAGAGCCCTATCGACCCGGGCCTTGATTTCTCTCCCGGGGTCTGGTTCTCTTTGTTTAGGATTCTGGGTTCTAGAAATTTCTTTTCTCAGGTGCAGAAATCTGAGCGCTGAGCCTTTCCTTCCTCAGATTTAGGGGTTCAGGGAGAGCTTGCCCCTTAGACATAGGGGTCCAGGCACACCCTTCTCTCTCAGACACAGGGGTCCAGACTCCCAGCCCTCCTCCCTCAGACCCAGGAGTCCAGGCCCAGCCTGCCCCCTCAGACCCAGGAGTCCAGGCCTAGCCTCTCCCCTCAGACCCAGGGCTCCAGGCCCCAGCCCTCCTCCCTCAGACCCAGGAGTCCAGGCCCAGCCCTCCTCCCTTGATCTATGACCTGCCATATCCAGAGCCATTCCAAGAAACCATCTTCTCCACATTGTGACCTTGGTGTCCCTTTTATCATGAGACCATAACCCTGAACCCCGCATGGCATGCCCCTGCCCCTCACCCCTGGGACCGACAGTCACCATGCTCCCTTCTTTGGGTCTCCTGACTTATTTCTTTCCCATCCCCAGGATTGGCTCACGGTTGCTCCTTCACAGCTGGACACCCTTCTGAACACGGGGGTCGGCTCCAGCGTCTCCATGGCTCCACGCTAACCCCCATGATAAAGTCAGACTGCACCAAACATGAACTGTACATACAACATTCTTTGTGTCAACCCCCTGCTCAGCCCTTCTCTTCCCACACCACATCCTCTCACACACAGGGTTTGCCTCCAAAATCTTTAGACTTTCTCACAAAAGCGTGTGCCAAAAATTCCCTTGCAGTCCCTTATATCTCGTTAGCTTTAAATATTGCTTGGCTTCTGCTCACTATAGAGTGATTACTGCATCAGATGTAACTCCTGGACTAGGGATGTAGATTGCTGGTAGAGCCCCTGCCTAGAATCCCCCAGTGAGGGGCTGGGGGCGTGGCTCAGTGGTAGAGCCCCTGCCTAGAATCCCCCAGTGAGGGGCTGGGGGCGTGGCTCAGTGGTGGAGCCCCTGCCTAGAAGCAGTGAGGGGCTGGGGGTGTGGCTCAGTGGTAGAGCCCCTGCCTAGAATCCCCCAGTGAGGGGCTGGGGGCGTGGCTCAGTGGTGGAGCCCCTGCCTAGAATCCCCCAGTGAGGGGCTGGGGTGTGGTTCACAGTGTAGCACTGGAGTGTCATACATGAGACTCAGTTCACTTGGCCAAAGCAAACAATAAACTAAGAGAAAAAAAAAGAGCAGGGAAAGAAATGGAATCCATGCTGCAGGCTCCCATAAGTGCATAGCTCAGTGCCCTCACAGTCCCAGTTGTAACAGCTTTGCCCTCTGCTGGAGGGCAGGGTCTGGGGCTGACTGTCCTTGGCTCTCCATTTTCACATAGAATGACTGTGTTTTTACAGTCATGCCTTCTCCCTCCCAGGGTCTGTCTCTATGCCCTAGACGAGCCTTGAACTTGCCATTCTCCTGCCTCCTCCTATTGCGTGCTGGGATTATAGGCATATGCCACCATACCTCGCTGTCACCTCTTTTCTTACACTGTTCACGCTAATTCCTCTGGAGCAGGGCCAGAAAGCAGACCTGGGAGTCCTGCCATGAGGGGCGGACACCCCAGCAGGGCCTGGGTCCTGGTTGCCTGCTTCCTTGCTTGAGTTCAGGCCCACACTTGTTCTTTCAGGAGCTGAGGCAGCTGAGCCAGGAGCGGGATCACGTGCAGAGTCTTCGCCAGAGACTGAGTGAGGCCCAAGGGCAGCTTGACCTGCAGCCTGAGGACCAGAGAGAGCGGCTCTTGCAGGGGGTGCAGGAGGTGAGGGCTCTTAGGCCCTTCTGAGAAAAAAAATCCCATGCTTGT